AACTGAAAAAGTAGGGGATATTGAGAGAATAATGCTGGTACCGCTGAAGTATTTCAATATTTAAGATCTAAAACTCGATCAGGCAAATTAGATAAATAAAACAGTAAGAGACAATAAAAGAAAGAAGAAAGTTTTATTGCTTTTAATTTACTATTAATGATTTTTGTTTCACTATCGACAACTATGGCTTTTCGAAACAAGAGGGTGGGATCGGTTACTTCAAAAAGCTACATGATATATCTTCCCATGGTAATGTTTGGCGATATAAGGCTCTCTTCACTTGAATTATTTAAAGTTCAAAATATATGGAAATAATTACCTTCCTAGTAAGTAAATCGATCAAGCTCGTCTCGAAGATATAGCCAATAGGAATCCAACTCATGAAGCGATGCAACGTATGCAGTGTTGCATCCACTAACGGTGCGTTATCGGATGACTCCTGGGAAAAAATCCTTATATTTCAATGACAATGTATACCTCACTTTATTATACTTCCTTTAAACTAAGCTTTCATTTTAAAGTAAGTGAGACCATTACCATGACTGTGTAACACAGATTAAAGACAGCCTGAAATTCACTGCAAAATGTCTTCTTAAGATGATGAGCCTTTGCTTGAGTCATCTCACCATCAAAATCAAATACTTCTTCACTAAAATAAAATTAAAGAAACCATTGGTCAAATGAATGTGATAATGTAATAGCTGCAGCACCTTAAATGTATATTACAACACATCAAATCCAATATACAAAATCACTCTAGATTTTGAAGGACTAGGAAAAAAAGTATGAAACATGCCATAATGCCATACTATTTCATCTTATCGAAAACAACATTCCGAACGCATAAATATAAACTTTTGCTTTCATTTAATTTACTTGATTCTAATTCTCATATGTACATAAAAATAAATTCCGTTACCTGAGCAGACGCAAAATAATCATATTATTCAAGCAAAGATTGTCGTTCACTTTGCTTGCACCAACGATATCGGCCATAAATGTTGGCCAATGTTTCGGCCACTCCTGTTTAACAATCTGGAAATATAAAAAATTACAATATTTGACAAATGAATACAAGCCGATATTATAAAAAATAAGAAAAATATGCATATACAAGCTATGTCCATATATATAATGACCTGTACGAGAACCAAATTCAACTTTTGAAGATAAGTTTTAATTTGTGGATTTGCAATTTCCTCACTGCTGATCTTTATTACCAGCTCAACGATGAACGATTTAATGCCTGAAATATATGATATAATGGAATAAGATGTTAAGGGATTAAACTTAAAAAGCATTATGTGTTTCACTTACACTAATGTGTCGCTCATCTTATCTGCTCAAACTTAACTTAGTTCAATAATACATACGCTCTACAAGTCCCGTTCAAAAAATCTCCAGTATTACCACTTATTATTACTGAAATTCGACTAAACATTGAATATGGTCATTTTATTGTCAACTACATGAACACGATAATTCCCATGAATGCCCATCCTACTAATCGCATAAGCATACTATTCTGAATAACCGCTTCCTTTAAAATGAATAAATGATATTTCAAAATATATTATAAATGAATATATTTACCTTCACATTGCTCACGTGGCAATGATTTCCAACGAGTTTCAATCAACGACTCAAGTATTTGTAATGCATAGTACTTAGTTTCCATCAATTGACTGTACTCTAAAATACCATCAACACGTGTCCACGATGTATCTTTTTGTTTTAGTTCTGTAAGAATCTTTGATGCAAGCTGCTGAGCTTCACCTGTCGACTGATTCATTATATTCACCACCTGAAAAGCTTCCGGTTTCTTTCGTTTTACTACCAGCGAAAATTTAAAAAATTGATCGACAATGTTTAAAGCTCAGAAAACGGATAAAATAGGTAATAAGAACTGTGAACAAGAGAGATCACGAAAAGACATGAAAAGATATGAATGAAAAACGAATAATAATAGTGGACAAGTTAAGATTATGAATAAAGGAAGTTATGACCAGTTGATAATATAGCTAAATTAAAACTGATGATGATAACGCCAATATTATGCATAGTAGAAACAAAGTACCTGATCAAGAAGCGGAATTTCGATTTTCTCAGATGACAGTAATGCTTCACCGGCTTTTTGCAAAGCCGCAACGGTCATCATTGTCATATTGTCATACACCGGAGGAACTGGATGATTCAGTGCGTCAAAGACTATTTCCGATACCTGGTTGCACGTCTTGATCCTTCGATTACTTATTTGCTTTCCAAAAATATATTTCACACTTGTAACACGCGCACACTCACTCAGACACACTCGCACGCACACAGTACACACGACACACACTGGTGACGAAGCTGTTAGCGCGTACTGAAAACATGGATCACATTAATATAGGAAGAAATTGAATAACAAAAGCCGTACGTAAACAATCATACTTCAAACAAACAGAAGAGAAAGGTCACCATATATACTTCCTTCTATCGCTACTGTAGTAACTAATACACCTTTCGTTGTTTTTTAGACTCGTATTTAATGATTCAAACACTTTGCTATAACATGTATTCAATCATTGATATCTTAATTCATCTTTTTTCTACATCCATTATAACTATTTAAATACTTTTTGCATTTATACTCATGACAGACATGCATTTTGCAAACGATCTGGTGAAATGGGAGATCATCGACTTAATCGCTATGGTTCTAACCAATTTAAACATTCCTTTCACTGGTTACTAGAGAAGCAGGCTTATAATCAGTTTTTATATGCGTGTAATCTAAAACTAATCGAAACCATCCGGAAGCACATCCGAGAGAGATTATACATAGTAGTACGATTTTGCGTAAAACATAGTCTTGCAGGTTATGCAAAACTGGCATGACGTCTATCCAACATAGCGAATTTGAAGGACTTCTTTTTAACACATCGTTTAAAAAGAAATATAAGTCATGAAATCAAATTTGAATTAAACTCCAAAAAACTACTGTGAAAAAACTCGGTAATACGAACTAGAGGAATGGAATTATTGAACTCTATTCCGTTAATTCACTGCCATGTTCTCTTAAAATTTTTGTTAGTCTTGGTCCTTTCTCAGCTAAATCATTATTTTTCGCTTTCATTTTCCTCTTCTTTTAGTTACCTATAACAGCGATAAAAAATTTTTGATCCAAAAATTTTTTTTTTTGCACAATTTCGGTTAATAATGCTATTTGTTTCTTCTATTTCTCTTCGCTTCGTAATCCATAATTATGTAAGCATCAAGTTTTATAAGCATCTTTCATAATAGCTATCCTATTTTGCTTTTACTGAATTCAAGAAAATACATTCGCACAAAGACAGCAGCGTCCCGAAACATCATTCCACCATTTCTGCACTGACCCATCCGAGAGTCGTATATTTTGTCAACATCCTTCGATACTGTTATATTGAAAAGGAATGAGCAGTCTAACACTGCAGTGTTTATTTTCCATAATTCTCGTATTGTTAATTCCCATGATTACTATATTTGCGCTATGCATAAACGTATAATAGAATTAAAGAGAAAATCGATGAAAAAAGAAAAAAATTCAATCAATGAAACATAAATATGCAACACTGTAAATATCACGCAATACGCTAATGACAATTTTTATGACTAAAAGAATTACGAAACGAATAAGTAAAATAATCGTAAAATAATCATAAAATAATCGATAAAGTCAAGCATACATACAAGCCATTTCCTACAACATAAATACGTCAAATATCACATAAATGTCATTCAACAAGCTCAGAATAAGCTTTTCATGCAAAAACAATCCTAATTCAACCACATAGTCAGAATAAAGTTCAATTCAAATATATTGTGCTCCAATTATACTCTTATTCGTGCAACGAAAAGCGATGAGTCGTTATGAAAATTTGTGTCCCACACGGTTTCGACAATTTTCGAATGTTGTATTTTGTCGGACTGTTCGTTTTGTTTTTGTTTGTTGATTAACTGTCGAAGTTTTTATTTGCGATTTTAATTCTTGTGATTATATTAATTTTTTTAGATATTATTTAGCGCTTATTTGAAATGGACACGTGGAAAAGATGTCGAAAACAAATTGGCATGTTTTTTTAATACTTAATATATGAATTTAAATTTTTATGGTTTAATTTAACTTGTAGTTTAATTTATAGTTTAACCAATACAGATTTTTATCCTCTTTTTTGTGGAAAACGATTTTGAAATTTACCGTGCAAGTAAAATTTACCAAGGTTTTTTTAATTTAATTTGATCGTAATACTTAACTACTCTTCAGTCCAATTATGTGTAACTTTTTACTCAGCGAGTGTTTAATTTTATTTGACTAATCTGACGTTCACCTAAATCTTTTTCGAGCTTATCAATCGATCACTAATTATGAGTATATTGAGAAATCGATACAAGAATTTTGATATTGCAAAATTTATTATGATATACTACATTATAGATAGTTAAAGGTAACTGAATACTCTTTACTATGCTTACGCATATATTTCTTTCATCACTTAGGTTATTCGTAATCATTAAGCTACCGATAGTATTTTTGCAGTATCGAAACTTTTACCGTTTTCATCGTTCAGTTTACCCAGTGAATATTGCTCATCACAACCGGATGTTTGCTTCACACCGGTATTTTTCTCTTTTTTGCTCATTTCTAGCTGATTTTTGCAAACTTTAAGAAGAAATAGTTCGAGAGAGATGCATTTAATTTTGTCGTTTTAACGTATTAATTTAACTTGTTCTGTCTTTACAAATAGTCTAAAATTTTTTTGTTGTTTATATGTATTGCTGTATATTTTTCTGCATTTGATAATTGAATATGTATAAAATAGGATGATTTGTATGAATCCATCGAATTCAGAATGCAATTTATATTTCAAATTTGCTGAATTCATATAAGTCATCACATCCTAAATTTTGAATTTTCAAATTTAAAAATTGAAAAAATGATGCCGAATTTTAAAAAATGCTCTAACATTTCTAATCTGTTGATGGAACATATCGATCTTTCATCACTTACCCTACGGTCACAAGAACAACATTTGGTAAAAGATCTCTTTCTCGTTTACATGGTTAGTGTTTTCAGATTCGTAAATTATGATCATTAAATTAGAAATTTTACAGTTTAGGCAATTCTACCGATGACCAGGTCATTGAATAAAGTGAAACAAGTGTTTGAATAACTTTATCATAAATCATTTTCCTAATTCATTGTAGGAATATGTTCAGGTGTAGTTGTGGCTCTAGCATAACGTAATATATCAAGCAGTTTTGATGAAAATTGATGTAGAAAGTTTGTAAAATTATTTAAATTACTTTATCCCATTTTTTTTTTTTTTGAAAATGTAGTAACAAATAATTATAATAGGCTTATCAAGGAAACAGTATACGATTTGTTAAAGAGGGTGATACCGTTACGTGGACGGTGAATCCAAGCTCAGATACTTGCCTGCGCAGCGCACTGTATGCTGATGCATGTCTCCCTCTTGCCGCTACACTGATTCAGCTTCGTCATAATATCAAAAGTAAGTTTGTCATATTTGTATTTGGTGTTTCAAGAGTTAGCGTATTAGGTAGATGTGTTGCAGTTTTCACTTCATTCAACAGTTTCATTCGTGTTTTGATTGATGTCAGCTAGCAATGAGAATAATAAATGTTGAATGTGTGCTTTCATTTTATATTTCAACGTACACTATTGATGTTTTTCTCACAGCCTTAACGGTCTATTTAAATATCTTCAGAAATAATGAGGGTATTTTGCAAAATAGAAACTATTAAGACAATGAGACTTCTATAATTTAGATCAAGTATCCCTTAATTAGCTTGTTCAGTGGTTCATATCATTTATCTCTAGCCAACGTCCACATTATGTGATTTTACAAAACTTTGAAAAAATTTTGTTTTCGTAATAATTCTGTATGTTATTTTTAGACATATGTTGCGAGTTATCACGTGGTCGGGTGGCACTTGCTGTTGGATCTGCGGCTGAAGAATTCTTCAATTTGGAAATAATGCCTTTATTAGTTAAGTTGGAACTCGAGAACCGGAATGATCAAAAATCATTGACCCTTGCAGAAGTTGCCACATATATGCGTCCATATATGCAAATAACGAAACAGCTGAATGAAGTACTTTCATCTATAATTAAGGTATTATAGAGAGTTTTCATTTTTAATTATAAAATGACAAACTTTAATCGAATTGGAAGTTTGGAGTTCTAACTGTAATAACCGTTGTTTTCACGTTCTTTAGGTTTTTTATGAAATCATTATGATGAGTTATCATTGAAATAAGGATTAAATTGCAGATAGACTGAACTTAGAGATGTCAAATAATATTAAGAGAATCAAAAAAATTAAGCTGAAAAAACACTTAAAATCATGCAAAAATTGAAAGTCGCTATGACATAAAATGAAGTAAGTGCAATTAAAAGTGAAAAATTGAAATGAAGCGAAACAAAGATAGAAGAAAGAGATGAAAATATATATAAGATAGAAGACTTCATAGGCATGAGTTTCATTTAAAATCAATAGTGATTATCGTTCAAGGCATTTTTTGTTTTGGTTATTTTTAGATTATCTTTATTTCTTGGTAACTACTTTAAGTGCATAATGTATTACTTTTGAAGCGTTTATTCAAAATGGGAATGGTATGTTTATTGTGCATTTGCGCGTAATTTTTAATTGCAAGAGTTGGACTGCGTTATTAATCCGGGAAACACGTCTTACGATTATTTGTTTCGTTGTTATTTACTAAATAAATTCCGTATTTGCTTGGTCAAAAAAAGCAGTGCTGCCATTCTTCGTCATTTGGATTGTGCGTAAATCAAGTGACAATAATAATTGCCGTTCAGATTTGATAATAATTGCTTTGTTTGTAACTGATATTGATATAATCACTTTTATTGTAGGATGATCTTGTGGGTGGTGAAGTATTATCATTGTTATCTGAACAAATACGAAAATGTGTATCACCGACAACTCGTGATATGCTGCAAAAATTTGAAATAGCTGGATTGGAACAATATTTTGAGCTATTGTTTTGGTGGATACGCTATGGGAAAATTCAGGATTGCTGTCATGACGTTTGTTTTATTATTGTCACATATTTTTATAGATTAGAACTAATACTTAAGAATTTAATTTCATTGAATTCAATCGATCTATGGCATTACATTTGTACAATGCTATTTGGTAGCCGATTCGTTTCAAAAGCAGGGAATAATATGCGAGTCGTATTCGAATTATATAATTTAGTATATAAAAAACTTTTCCAAAATAATGAGATTTCAATCGACTTTTTCACTTTCATCATATTTGTTTCAGTTTATGATTTGGGATCTTAAAAGTTCGAAAATGTTTTCAAAATCAGATATCGTACCGGAAGATGATGACATTTTTGGTGATGGTTCGAACAAGTATGTAATTTCTTCCGACTACATAAATTTAGTGTAATGGACTTTATTCCGAATTTCCTATAATTCAATATAATTCAGCAAAATAAGTGAGCAAATTAACTCAATTTAGAAAAAAAATTGTTTAATTTGTTATTCTCAGTTTCAATGATCGGTTTTGTGTTGTGAAAGCTTTGTGTCCATCGCAGCTGCAATCTGCGTTTGAAGATATTGTAAAATGTGGCACATATCTGAATATTGCTGAAATGATCAAAGGTAAAATTTTATAAAATATTTTATAAATTGAAGCGATTCCTATCTATGTAGCGAGGATAAATTTTCTTTGTAAAGTTTCTCTTTAAATATCGGTTGATGCATACATATAAAGTTTCTCAGTTTAAATATCGGTTGATAACATATCGTTTACGTAACCTATGCGAGCATGTTCTTTTAGTTTGTACTCAGTTGATATTACCCACTATTAGAAAAGTAGACAACACTTGATTTAAGCTTCATCATTTTGAGTATTCCTGGGAGAAATGTATCATTGCGTATTATCAGACAGAGTTGATCTGATAACTTACAGTGCTAGAAAATTGTTTGAGTTTAATTAATAAATGACTTATCTGTCTGGAACGAATCGATGATGGAACAGTTCATTTAAACATCTTTTATATCATACACGCATATTCTGCTCACCAAATTATTTTGGAAATGAATCTTTTGGTTTATTCACTTAAAAATGTTCTTTCTATTTTTATGGAGAAAATTCTTAGTCGAAAAACTTTAATGAGTAAGGATATTTTTTGCATCACTGCTCACGATTTTAATACTGTTGTGTTTATGACTTTTATGGAATCTTAAAAGTTTTTAGCATGCTTCATTATATACAAAATTTATTTTTTTACACATATACTGATAATTTCAAATTGTGTTTTTCCAGGTGAGACTACAACATATGATGACGAGCGGATTGGCGAAGAAGAAGAACTGGAGGAATGGAAACGAAAAAATGTTCGTTTTTAAGTGTTTTACAATCATTTTTTTGATTTATCGATCCATTAACCAAGTTTATGAAAATGATGCTTATTCTCGAAGTTTAAAATGTTCTTTTTGAGGTTGACGATGTTGTACGTGAAGTAAAGAAAGCTCGATTAAAAGCAAGCAAAGATTTGGTTCAAATTTTACGTAAGCAGTTCTGTTTGGATGAATATTTCGAGTAATTTTTAACTTAATTAGATTATGTTTTTCTTAAAACGTTTTGTTTGCTAAAATTTTTTAACATATTCTTATGATAGTTGATTTCTTGCTTGATTTCTTGGGTTTTGCCTGTTTCTTGCAGAGAAGACATGCTTTTTAAATTTATTTGCAGGTCGTTTCATAATTTTCTTCTCTTACAACGCTCCGATTGGCTAGTTTCATTCCACGAATTATCTCGAGATATGCTTAATAGTTCCGTTCGAGGTAATGTTGAAGGATATAGAATATTATTGAGATTGTTTGGTTGTTCAATTTAGTTCACTCAGTTTGCTATATTCTAATTAACCATATTCTCGCTCTCTCGTGTCTCTGAAGTATCTTAATGAAATCAGATTGCTATCTTAATAAAATCAGATTTCCAATACCATGTGAGTTTCAATTTTCATTGATCTAACTTTCAAGGGAGGATTTGTTATCGGTAATTTTGCTTACTTGACAGTAGGTTGTTTGTTACACTTATTAATCTTGAGAAAATTCTTCGCAGTTCTGGGAATTCGAGTGGTCGTACTGATATCGATTTGCATCGATTTGAATAGCTTATTATTTCTCATACCAGGCAGAGAAACTAATGTATTTAGTAGTATGATATGACAAAGTATGGTAGATACCTACCACTGCAATTATAAATTAGCGATTATCCACTCTACATAAAACTATTGGTATTTGGAGGGAATATGGCTTATTTAACATGCAACTAAAATTAAATTAAATTGTTTACGTGACAAACTTTAGATATATCAGTAAAGAAATTGCAAATATTATTCGAAGAAGCCGTAGACTGCTCTACATTACATTTCGACAAACATAGGCACATATTCAGGTTAATTTGTAATACTTTTTAGTATAAACTTGTTGAATGGTTCAGTTATTTGATTTAATCTTTTTCTTAGAATTTTTCGGTTTTCATTAAAATTTATTCTGATTATCTGTTTTTAGGCCTATTTTGGAGAAGTACGATGTCTTCACATCATTGCATTTAATCAGTGGAAAAGTTGAGCAAAAGAAAAAATTATGGATAGGTGAGTATTTGCATTTTTAAGGACTGGTGACGTTAACATTCATTTATTTTACGGTCAAATATATGAAATAAAAATATTTTGCGTCATATATAGGAATGACAGTTACAGCTCAAGATACATAATAGTAATAATCAGTTAAGCATCAAAAATTTCTTTCTTTTTAGATTGATGGACTACTAAGGCTAATTTAATAATTAATATTTGTTTGATATGAAATGCATAAATTTGATGGATCTTTGAATCAGGTCCTTTTTTTTGAATAATTAGCTCAACAGCTTTTATAGATTTCGAAACAACTGAAAGTAAAAATGGACAGGACGCACTATCAATCCATATTAATGTCGATTCACCATTATCACTTGTTTTTCCGCCACGGATTTTGCTTTATTACAATCTTCTTTTCCGGATATTTTTTTATCTTTTCAGTGCTACTAATCAAATTTTCAAGTTTGCAATTACTATTATTACTGTTATCAATATTATTATTCTATATTGTTATCGTCATAATAATAATTATTATTATTACTATTATTATTAATTATTATTTTGATTATTTTTATTTCTATTATTTTTATTATTATTATTAATTATTATTATCATTAATTATTATCATTTATTGTGATTACTATTAGTATTATTATTATTATCATTATTGATTAGAATTATTTATTATTATTAATTTCGGGGTTAAACTATGTAAAGATACTGACGTAGCAGCAGTTGGGTGATTGAATAACAATGTTAATTTCATCAGTTATGTATTGTAGTTAAATATTTATATTTCACATGAATTTTTCATTCCTTGCGTTATTATCTGATACTTGCATCAGGCTACGCATGGATGTGTATATAAGGTAGCTTCTATATTGCGGTTTCGTGACAGGAAAAATAGCAGTAAGATATAATGATGAGAGCATCACTATATAGTTGACAGTCATAAAAGCGTCATGTTATTGAACAACGAAATGACAGTTAAAATATGATTTTTTTATGTTTTTTAGTGTAAGACAGCAAATTCTATATTCATGTAATCACATCCAAAATTAATATATTTACTATTATCTATCTTCATTTATGTATTCTGGTATTTTTGAAATATTTCAGTAATGATGTCTGAGTATTTTCCGATACTATCTTGCCTTCGTTTATAAATTTGGGAATCGAAGAACTTAAGTATTTCATCATCAGCCTTATCCATGTTTTAGGTATTCAAAAAATTATCTATATCTTATATTTTGTTTTCAGCAAACAGATGCGTAGTGATGTAGTGACGACACTTAATGATAGACGTTTATTAGAAGAAATGCTTCATTTTCTGAATGCATATAATTTACATTGCTCGATATATGTTGTACCTCGCTTATGGAGTATTTTTATTGATAAATTATCAAAAGTTAGTTTTTGTATACGTTTATTCTATATATTTTTAATTTCCAGTATCTAAATAAGTTATGAACAGATTTTTCTTCTAGTTGTTAGATAATTTTTCTCTTAGATATATATAATCGCAGGATTTAAAAGGAGATGTCAAATATTTTTTCTCCAGAAAGTTTGTCGATATCGCTGTAGTCATTATGTTATTTCGTTGTAGTAATCGTTAAATTAACTTTAAATTACCTTGAATGAGAAACATTTGGAAATATTTTCAATTGATTCTTTTTCAGTCTGCAAGTCTTGAAGAAATATTATCATTCCAAAATTCTTTTTTCGCCGATACGATGGCTCAATGTTTCTTACCGGATCCGAAGTTCATGGACTTGCTTTCGAATTTGGTTGCTGTTATCCGCGGTTTTACAACCGATGAAATTGTATGTTTTATTTCTAATTGTAATCTTTCAAATACTGTTTTGAACACTTGGAATATGGGGTTAAGTTTCCTGAAAAAGTTTAACAAGACGCAGTATGTTACCTGATCAGAGACTTAGTTCGATCTTGTCATACAAACATTAAGGAAGAACTGAATGATTGATTTGTTTTTGTTGGTTTTTCGCTTTCACAGAATTTCTTGAGTTAGAAGAACGATCGTAGTATAAGAGAAGAAAATAAGAGCTACACTCTGCAGAGAAATCTAAGCATGACCCTCGGTATTTAGATTAAAGAACCGTTTGATCTAATTATTTAAGTGACACCGGAATGGTATTGGACAGTTGATTGATTGAGTTGAAGTATTATTTCGTCTTATTATTAGAATATTTTTTCTCTAATTAGAATCAACTTCATAATTTAAGTTAAAATTTAGCAATATTTCATATAATTAGTGATATATTTTTAGAAATATGACCAATCAGCTCAAAAATGGAACGAGTATCTTGGGAAAATGTTCTCTCTTCTTTCGAAGCCAAATAATAATAATGCATATGCTCAGTTGCATTCTAGGTAGACTTTTTGCTTATTTTTTTAGTTATGAAATTTTAACTGATTCACTTTCTCTGTTGGGCTAACTTAAGGTCAGTAAAAAATTTATTTTATTGCTAAATATGAATTTTTTCATATGCGTGCAGTTGTGCAATTTTTCTCATTTGATCTTTTCAGAATTTTTTCTCAGTTCTATTGAAGCATTGATTTGATCGGGATGAAAATACAAGAGTGCAAGCTTTGAGCAGCAAAATTTCTGATTTGTGATTTGTGATTTGTGATAATTATTTATCTGTTATCTATTTCATTGTAATTGTTTTAACCATCTTTAGTTTTATTTAAAAACCAATTTTTCAACTTATTTTATTGTCTTATTTGGCCGCGATGGTTGGGCTAAGTATAGCAATGTTTGAAGAGAATCGATCATAGAAAGTATTATATAGAAATTTCCAAAGGAAAAAAAAATATTCTTTAGTATAATGAATTAAGATATTAAACAAGCCGTACCAAATTATTTAACTGAGAATATTTGAGACAAAAAATTTCTAAAATATAGATTCCACAAATACTAAATAATACTTTGATTATGTAAATATTTTTATATTGTAAAGTTATTTCGGATTACTGACATTTCCGACTGGAGGAATTAGCATCTTCTTCATCGTTTCTGATGAAGTTCCACTTTTTGCTTCTGGTGAAGTTCCCCAACTTTTTGCAGCACTGTTGGTTCATAGAGCGATAGCTTCTTGTTCATCGACTCTCCAGTTCGTAGAGCGATAGATTTGTTTTTAATTCGTAGATTCTTCTTGTTCATCGACTCTAGTTCGTAAAGCAATAGCCTTTTTTTTAATTCATAGATAGGTTCTTTTTATTCATCCAACTGATTTGTCAAACGCTGTTGATTAATTTTTCAACTTTCTTCATTGTTTGAGGAATCTTCTGTTGGCAGTTCTATTAATGTATTTCTCCATCTCTACCTCTTTTAATTTCCTTCATCCTGGCTAATTTTCACACACCCGATGTTTCGCTAACTAATACAGTTTTTTCTTCATAGAATGTCTTCTATATTTCTGGGAAAGTATGTTCTCTCTAAGTTCGTTTTCGAAGACTGGTCAAATACTCATTTCCCCATATATTCCATAATGTATCCAAGGCCTTCAGAGTTTTTGATCAATAGTAAGTCTTTCCCTTTGTATTTAGTTTGTGAGGAGTAAATTCTCTCTGATTATTTCGTTGGAGGAACTAATGAAGTATTAGGCGAGATGAAATCAATTGGGCTGCAATTACTTAGTCTCCAAATTTTATATTAGCTAGGTATTCAGTGTATCTTCTATTTCTACTATTAAACTTCTACCAGTAGCTCTTTTCATTGCCTTTTTGCCCATGATGCACTTTCCACTGTATTTCCTAATTCCAAATTTTGTTGAGAGAGTTTCTTTGTTACAACGTCAATTGGAATACCTTTTCAATATCTGCTATTATCATAATTCCTATCATTCTAAAACGAAGCCTGTTAAATCGGGGAATATAGTCAAATAGCGCTGTAACGGTACAGAACATCATTTAAATCAACTTTTCATATCTTTAAGATAGCCTCGTAAACAATTCTTAATTTCGCCATCGAATTGCCTGGCGTTAATATCTCGCGATGGGAGAAATAATATATATTAAAGTAATTCGATTCATGTTTTGAGTCACTTTTTCAATTATAATGAATTGCATTTGTTTTTGAATTGTTTCATTGTGTCGGTTAAGTGGAAGTTTGTTGACTTGAGGTCATCCAATTAATATTTTCAGTCTTCCGAAATAAACGCCATATTTATTGTTTAAGAAAACTTTCGAATGTTTCCAAATCTAAATATATTGTTTAAAAGTAGTTCCTATGAATTATTTTAATACATGTTTATCATCATGAGCATTAAGTTGTTCCTGAATGCCTACCTATGAGTTCTAATTTTCAGAATTGATCTATTCCTGTAATCGTAATGGCATTATTTACATTTATCGATTTATTTTTAACCGGAATTATATCGAATTTGGTTTGGTCTTCATCATAATTACGAGATTTGTTGATATGTCTACATCTAGTTATTGCCGAAATAATGGAAGCATTTTATGATAAAAGAAGACATGAAGAGAAGGAATATCACTTGAAAAGTTATTTCCACAAGAACTTTATTTCTATCACCAGAAAAAGAAATAAATTTATTTATATATCATAAACAAAAAGAGATGTTGGTGATTAGAAGGAGAGCAAAGGAAAGAAAAGAAAGAAACAATTCATAAGAGATATTAGTATTAAAATCATTCATTAGTTGTCATGAGGAAAAGTTAAAATGGATCGCAATAATTTTACTAATATTTCTTTCATTTTTTTTAATTTATCATTTCAATATAATAAAGAATAACATTTCTAATATTTGCTTTTTGTGCGGAAAAACTGCAAAAAATGGAAAAGATGGCAAAGAATAGGGGAAATTGGTTGAAATTTCATTAGAATTTATTTTGCAATATTGTCGCATAAAGAGGATCGTATCATCCACCCATCTATCCATCCATCCATCTATCCATCCATCCATCCATCTATCCATCTATCCATTCATTCATCCATCCATCCATCCATCCATCCACCTATTATCGCAATTCTTAAAGGATAGAAGGGTGGATGGAAGGTGGAACAAAAACAATATCAAATCAAAACGGATGATAGGTTACGTAATTTAAAAAAAAAAAAAATTAATCAAATTTAAATTAAAAATTTCCTTTATCCATCAATAAAGAGTTGATGCATTAGAATTAGTTATTATTATTTGTATGAATTGCATTTTGAAAGAGATTTGCAATATTTTAAAAGTTATATTTATAAACAAATCAAAGGGAAAAGAAAGTAATCTGTTGTTAAAAGGAAAAGAAAACAAATATCCGTTTGATGTGTCGGTATGTAAAAGAAGAAATGAAGTTAGCCAAATGACCATTGTAATGACATTTGATCTAAACTCACACTCTAATTGCCATATTGTAGGATTATTATAGTAAACAACAATACACTCTCTTCTATCTTCTTTTCTTTCACTTAAAGTTCTCTCTTCTAACTGATATTCTTCTCGCTGAAAAAGAAGTTGGTCAGAAATTTCTGGGAAGTCACAACAAGTTGATCGTGACTTATTGAGTAAGTAGCATTGATCACAAGTTTATAGAGTGGATTGATGTTGATTTTCCGGATAAGGAAGTATTCGATTATAACTTTCTCGTTGATCGTCATTTTCAGGGTCAGTACTATTTTATAGGATAAATTTCTCAGTGAGAAGTTTATTTTATAAATATTAGTTATATCATAAACTTTTTGATTAATTATTATTTCCTGGATTTTCGTAGTATAAATTCGAGGAAAGGTAAAAGATGGGAGAAAAAAAGGATAGGATAGAAATGGAATGGCTATTTTATCAATTCATCAGTAAATTTCAAATGGCATTATAATAAATGAAGCTGTCGCAGCGAATTTCATTTTGTTTATTTATTTCTCTCTCTCCTTTTTCTTTCGATGCAAAGCAAAATGTGAAATATAAAAATCGGAAAATAAATGTGAATAAATAATAAATTCGATGAAAGAATGAAAAATAAAATGGTAGGAGAAAATGAAAAAAGAGCGAGGGAGAGAGAGAGAGAGGAGGAAAGAGTGGAAATTTAATCGAACAGAGAAAAAAAGCTGACTGTAAATATTGTTGACAATTTCTTGATGAAAATCAAAATAATGAAATTGAAGTAAAATTTTTCGAAGTTATTATGACTATTGTTATTACCACTGCAACTTTCAAAAAATTATATTTATCATTTTGTTGAAAATTACCACTACAACTGTCAAAAAGTTATATTTATCATTTTGTTGAAAATTACCACTACAACTGTCAAAAAGTTATATTTATCACAGGCTATATTTGTCATTTTGCTAAAGACACCACTAAAACTGTCAAAAGTTTTATTTATCACAAGTTATATTATCACATTGTTGAATAAAAGTTTGTGGATAAATACAACTCGTATGATTCATTTTTTTTCCTAATTTCTTTGTTTACTAATTTCACACAATTCGAAGTTAATTTGAACAAAAAAAATTGCGAAAATGTGAAAGAATGAAATTTGTAGTAATTTTTATGAAATTAAATTAAATTAGATATGTATGACATTGTGGATACAATGATATTTTACAGTATGTTTAAGAAATGTAATATCATTGTTATATTTCGAGTATATAAGATTTGAAACAATCATTAGTTCATTCAAAGTAATAAATAAATTGAAGCCAAATAACCAACGATTATTTAATATTCAAGTACTTGAGTAACGTAATCGGATTTTTAATCGGAATATTATATAAATACTTAAATATTTTGTATGCATGCAAAAATATTATTTGATTATGAATATTTGAGTGTTTTAAATGATTTATTACATTATCACTGATACTTCAATATTTCATTCGGAATATTATTTGATCATCATTTCTTGGATGTTTTAGCAGTAATATAGTTCAATTACCAGAATTTTGATCGTGGATTAAAATAGATTTGAATTTTTTAATTTTAATTTTATCCTTAACTTTCAGTCGATGTTAAATCAAGAGCGATACCTTGACATTTAATGTGGAAGACTAATTAGGCCTTTAATTAAAACATTCCAATATTATAATATTATGATATTATAAAATTTTGCACTTCTAAATTCAGAAGAAAACAGAAGTGAATCAATGATTACAGAGCTATTGACTATAAATTTTACGATAATTCTTTATTTGAACCAGTTGAGAAAATAAGAAAACAACTAATGATGAAGAAATGATGAAGAAAGGAAAAAGAGCATATCTAAAGATCCCTAAAATTCGAGAAAATATCAAAGACGAAAATATCTAAAGAAATCTAAAATATCAATCGATGTTTTCTTTTTCAAATAATAATTGAGATTTTATAATTTTTTTCCTGTTTATTATAATCCATTTCCATCTAATTAATTTCTATCATATTTATTCCCAACGAATAATTTGCGATATAACTGAAATTTGTAGTATATATATACTTCCTTTTTCCTGAGAAATATTTTGAATGAAATGGATTTATCAATAATTTCCATATCAAACATTCTTATTAAATGTGTAATTCATTTTCAATAAATATATTTGCAGCAATTTTTTAGCAATAATTTTGCATAAATTTTTTAAAAGTATTAATTAATCGATTGTGCAATCTTTCAACGTTATCTTATTGTTATGCTAATTGCAATTTCGAATGCTAAGTAATTGAAATGTGTTAAAATAACAAATTAACTGTTGAAAATTTCATTTCTTTCTTTTCCTCAGTTATTTTCTTTTCCCAATTATATTATTTCTTTATTTCTCTTTTTTTTTTTGTTATTTACTATAAATCAGTGAATGATAATATCGTGTTAAATTGAACTGTTTATTAATTAAACAAACAATTAATGGGAAGGAAAGGTGAAAGAAATTGTTGCTATGGGAGAATTGAGAAATGCTTCACATACCATTAAATATTAATCAATTCTTTGGTGAAATGAAATAACTGCAAATATCAGCGTTAGATAAAATGAAATATTTCAAATGCTATAAAAATTAATGGATTATAAAACAATTTAAAAAATGCCTTAGCGAAATATTTGTATGATTAAAATGAAAAAAACGAAATGTTAGTAAACTAATAATTATTATTAAGATGCGCACAATTGAATTAATTAACAAAAATCGTTAATAGAAAAGGAAAAAAAGAGGAGGAAATGGGTGGGAAGATTTTAAAGATTAAATAAATTTTGCTTTGATTTAATTTAATTGATTGGATGGAAAAGGCGAACGAGGAAAAAAGTAGAAGAAGGAAAAGGAAAAGGAGGAGGAGGAGGAGGAGGAGGAAGAGCGGGAGGAGGAAGAGGAGGGGGAGGAGGAGGAAGAGGAGGAGGAAGAGGAGGAGGAGGAGGAGGAGGAGGGAAATGAAATGAAAAGGAAAGTTGCATGGAACTTTAATTTAACCAAAATGCGTCATTTTATTTTCTCGAAATGATAACTTCTTTTGGAGGAGGATTAGGCTTATTTTGTTTGTTAAAAATTTCATTCCTTCTCTTTCTTTCACTCTCATTTAGCGTTCAGCTTTTATTCTGTCACTCTTATTTCGAACTTTATTTTTTGATTAGGGAGGTGAAAGGAGAAGGTAAGTGAAGATGAATAAATGGAGAGAGATGAAAGAGAGAGAGAGAGAGAGAGAGAAAAAAATAGAAATTTAAATTAAAAGAATGAAATTAAATTATCGTCCTTCCTTTCCTTTCCTCCCTCTTAAATTGTTACCACTCTATTATTAGTTAATAATAATTATTTATTTTTATAGCTAAAACAATTGGAACGATCAGATTGGGTGATGTTAACAATGAAATTATTCCTTCATTGCGCCATCTTTTATTTGCTTGCGTTTGCATACGGTAAATAAAAGAATATATTTATTTGTATTGTAAGAATAATTTTTGTAATTTGTAAATTTTTGAATATTTTCTTAATGAAAAAGTTGTAAAAATGGGCGTGGGTGTCGAAATTAAAAAATATTTTTTTTGCTTATTATTATGTCTTTTTTATCTTTCTTCTTTTTAAATAACAAATGCAATATGTCTGTCGTAAACATTTTTGACATCAAAAATTATCAATTTTCTGTGTATCATAAGATCATGAATACATTGAATATCGTAAACTAGAGAAATTTTAGGTTGATTTTTGTAAGATCATAAATTTGAAATACCCAAAATTTTTAAAGTATCATAAATTAATAACGTATTAAAACAGTTTTTGAAGTAATTTTAAATTGAGAATACTTTAAGTGTAATCTTAAAGTATCATTATACCGGATTTTTTAAATAAAATTAATTTACAACATTTTATATTAATTCATTAAGTTCTATGAGTTGCGGATACTTTAAATTCGTTAAATATCATTAAGTGCGAATATTTTATTGGAATTTTGATATTCAGATATGATTTAAATCATTTCAACATTGAAAAGAAATGAGAAAAACTTTAAATTTCTATTTTTCTTTTCCATTTATTAAAAGATTACTTTCAATTGTAATTTCTGCAATTCTCACAATCTTAATATCATTAGCATTATTCTAACATTTTAAATTTAATCCACTTGTTTGCCTTCTTCATTTAAAAACTTTTTGTTGTATGAAACTTTTAAAGCATACAGTATATTTATTCTTGATTTTTTAGATTTCGATCCTTTCTTTTCCATCAATCGATAATTCATTTAATTATCTTCTGAAGTTAATTCCTTAAAACTTTCCTTCATTCAAGAAATTTATTCTTCAATAGAAGAAACCCGTATACTTAATTTTTACTCAGAAAATTTTCTGATTTCTTATCATATCGATCATTTTGAAATTGAAAAATTAATAAGTTGGAAGAATTGCGCGAAGAAAAACCATATTTGATATTTTTCAACATTTTTTAAAAAGTATTCAAATTACTGAACAAAAAAATCCATAAATTTATCGAATGAATGATTTTAATGAATGAATGGCTTCAGAGAAAAATTTTCGCAGACTATCTGAAGTAATTCGCAATTCGTAGACGGTCTGAAAAAATTCGCAATTCGCAGACTATCTAAAAAAAAATTTCTTATGCACCGTCAATATTTAGCCATTCTGTTGAAATTGCAGCAAATGCAGCAATAGAATTCCGTTAAAAATGTAAATTTTGTTATTCGTAAGGAAATGAAAAACAATTGGCCAATTCTTTCTTTTTTGATTTCTTTCCTTTGTTTGGCTTTTTTTTTTAAAAAATTTTTCAGTTTGATTTTATTTTGTTAAAATTTGACAATTTCTTTTTTTCTCTTAAATTTATTTTCATCACAATCTTCTTTGCTTCATTTCTATCTTATTTATTTCTATTTCAATTACTTATATACTTTGTATGGATCGGAATGGATCGGAATGGATCGAAAAATTGGGAAAGTGAATTTATAAAATTATTCATTCACAAACATTTTATTGGGTAATTTTAAATTTACAATAAACATACTAATAAATTTATCAACTTACTTTAACCTTTCAAATTTATAAATAACAATTTGTCAACTTTGACCTTTCAAATTTATGCTAACAAACAAATAACATACCAGAAAAAAGACAATCAATAAATATTTTAGAAATTAGCATATTTATTGAGAAGATAATTTAATGTTGTAACAACAAAAAAAAAGGTTTTATCAGAAATTTTTTGTTGTGACAGAAAAAATTATAATATCTATGACGCATTGAACATTAAAATATTGACAGTTTTCTTGTCGAGAATTTAAAAGAAATCTCTTGAGACAATTTTTTGGGAAATTGTTATTGGGAATAATTGCTTGCATAAAATTTTTCCTCATAATTTCTGGTTCAGAAGCGAAAGGAAAGTAGTGATGAGGAGGATGAGGATGATGTTGATAATTGATAGTTGATGATAATGATTGATGATGATGATGATTGTGAGATAATATTTATGTTAGCAGTGGTGATAGAAAAAAAATGAGAAAAATAATGGCTATAGATAGTAATAAAGCATAATCAAGTGAAATGATAATTGTTGATGATAATAGTGCATGATAGAAAAGCAAATGATGATTTTTGATGATGATGAAGATTTCTCTGACTAGCTTCCAATTTGAGAGTAGAAGAGAAAGATAATATCAATAATGATATATGTATGATAATAATGATGATAGAAAAAAAGCGGAAAAAAGAAAATCATCAGGAGATAGCATATAGAAGCAAGAAAAATGATTATCATTGATATTACGGTAATACCATTTCTTTCATTACATTATCACCTGTACATTCATTCTCTTTTGTTCATTCATTTTCTGATAATAGTAATATCATCTTATTAAGGTAAGTAAGGCATATTATCTTTTCTTTCGGATGTTTTTCATGTTTCCTAATATTTTAGGCATTTCTTCTATTGGTTATATAAATGAAATTAATTAGAAATTATACTCATTTACAGTCGGCATAATTGTTTTATGATTGCCTCTTTTTCTACTTGTTTAAATACAAGAAGAAGAGAAATTTGAATACTCTAAAATAAAACTGAAATTATGCTTTAGCCAACGAAAAAGGCAAAGAAGGAAGAATGAAAGGCAAAGAATTAAATGAAATTCAAATTCTAAATTTAAATAGAAATGTAAATAAAATTGGAAGTATGAAAATAGCAACTAAATAAAAATGAAAGAAAATAAAACAATGTGAAATTCAATTAAAACAATTCAAATTTTCTTTTATTTCCATAAAAAGAAGCAAATCGAAATGTCTTATAGAATGAATTGATAGTAACAAAATATTTTAATCAAACAAATAAAATAGTTAGTGATAATAACAATTATTGTAAACAATGAAGATAAAGAAGCTACTTTTGATTTGAAAAAGAAAAAGAGATTTCGTAAACGATTTTGAAAGATTGTAAACAAATTTTCAAAATCAGTCATTTCATCCATTTAAAATATTTTATTATGAATTTTACTATATTTTAAAATTCTATCCAATCAAGCCTTTTAAATAAATATACATATATATATATATATTCACTTTAAACTTCGAGTTTAATTTAAATATGAGATTTGATTCATTTAATAGATGTGCGATGCAAATTTGATTTGCATTATGAATAACTTCAAATTAGTTTTCTAAAAGCCTTCTAGGAATATCTTTCTTCTATGATGGTGATAGAAGAAGCAGAAATGTTATAGGCCAGAGAAATCTCACTTTTTTTTACTTCTCTCCATCCTTCCTTTCTTGCCAGCTTATAAATTGGAAAAATGAAATTTGATAAACAATCCACATTTTCTTGTCTGAATTTTTGAATTTTAGGTATTAATGATGATGAACAGGGAGGACATTCGTCGATGCTAACCAATCCAGAAACGGACGTTCTTCAACAGTATTTTAATGATTATTAATAAATTTCTAAATAAAGAAAAAAGGAAAAAAAAACTGCCATAATTAATTTAACCAATTAATTACTGTTAATGATATCAATTTAAAAGTTTGGAATAAACATATTTAGAATAAATAACATATAAGAAAACAAGGAAAAGAAATGCGAAAGTAACAAAGTTGTAAAAACGAATTTATTATAAAATATTATCATTATTATTATTATTATTATTATGAATTATTACCATTATTATAAAATGAATTATTATCATTATTATAAAATGAATTATTATCATTATTATTATCAGCAAATTATTATCATTAATTATTCTATAATGAATTCAAATAATTATTATCATTTTGATGTTTTCATTAATTTTATTACTTTTATAATAAACGTTAATTACTTTCATTTCTAATTCTATCATAATTGTAATCTTTCACTCTTTTTTGATATTTTTAAACCAAAATTTTATTTAAATTTTATTTCAGACAATTATTATCGATAAAAAAACGTGCTGGGGCACGAGCATTTGGTTCATTAAGAACAAATGATTTTGATAATCTTTTCTATCCAAACAATAAACGACATCAAGCATTTTCACCATTTTATTACTATCAACAACCAAAACGTGGCGGTGGACATCCATTCTACACCTATTGGAGTCCATCTGACGTAAAGTACGTATGATTTACCAATTCCTTTTCTCTTATAACGTGAAAAATAAATAACAAACGATAAACTAAACAAAAAGATGATTGATATGATAGGAATTTATAATGATTAAATCTATCAGTAAATAAATAATCAATAAAAAAAGTGAAAATTTTAAAATATCAATTGTAATTTGGAAATAGCTAAAATTGAAATAATTTATTTTGAATAATTATCAAATTAACAATTTACATAAATATTGCTTAATTACAGATTCATCGAAAATTTTCCATATTTTAAAAAGCGTTCGTTGCGTGATTCCGATGATTATATTTATTGATAAAATGAATCGATTCAGGATGAGATTAATAAATGACGAATTGAAATCTTGCAGAAGAAATTGCTTCGTTTTCATCTTTTTTTCCTTATAAATCAATCGCTTAGTTTATTTTATTATTTTAGCTGTCAATTATTCGTAAATAAAACTAAACGAATAATTTGTATTCGTAGAAATTTTCAAATTTAAAAGCAATTTAAATTATCATTTTTAAATTGCCTTTAAATTAAAAAAATTCCTCACATTATTGTGTTAACATTTGATTGTATCATTAAGACATTTTGAAATAAATTTTCCAATAGCAAATTGAATTGTTGCAAAAGTAAACAAACAAACAAACAAACAAACAAACAAATAATAATAAACAAAATGTGAAAAAAAAAGGATTAATTAATTTTTATTTTTTTAACTAATTAATATTTTGACAAAATTTTGTCGTTGTATTATTAAATGATATTATTAATTTGATGGAATAAATATCAATTTTTTTGGCTAATCTTATTTGTTTAACAAAACATTTCAAATCCTTGAAATCATTATTGAAATCTAAAATATAAATAAAATTTAAAATTAAAATTAAATGTAAAAATAAATTATGTCATTTCTAAAATTGCATTAAATACTAATCAACAAGTACCATATGTGGTACCAATATATCCAATAATATTAATAAATGAATGATATCAAAATGAACCGTAAACTGCAATAGTTAAGAGAAATTCCTGGTGAACTGTCAATTCACTACTAGTGAAATTTCAGATCAACTGTTAAATTAGTAGTAGTGAATTACTAGTGAAATACCAGATGAATTATTAATTCACAGGTAGTAGTGAATTAATAGTTCATCTGGAATTTCCCTTAAAAAATATATTTTTTAAATATCGAAAATACCATTAAATTAAATATTGAAGTGATTTATTGAATGTATTGAAATTATTAAATTAATATAGCAAATAATCATTGCAAACTTTTTCATATTCACAACAATTTGTAATCAGAAGGAAAGATTTACATACTTTCATGAAGACATCTATTGCTTTTGAATAAGCTACTGCTTAAATTACTCATTGAATACTTTAGAATAGATTATTGATTACTATATCAAAATTATTGTAGAACGAAAATTAATTCGAGCATTCAAATTCATTTGTTAAAAACAATTATTTTGTCTAATGATCGCAAATAGTTATGAATATGAAGTTTGAAACGATTATTTTGCTATATTAATTCAATATATTCATTAAATCATTTGCTATATCATGAATATTTGATGCTATTTTCGACATTTAAGAAATACATTTTTTTTAATTTCATCAATTTCAATTCAAACTAATTATGGAACTTAACAATTCTCTTCACTTTCTTCGTTTTAATTGGAAAATAAAAGTGTCTCTGAAATGATAAAAAATAACGATAATACGGAAATTATGCAATGAAATAGATATTCGATGAAGTGTTGAAAATTTTCAACTAACTTCTGATCATCGTCAATTTCAATTTCAGTTTCATCCAATATATCTTTCTTTTTACTTTTCCATTTACAAAAAGAAAAAGAAGGGAAATAAATAAATCTTCAAATGGTATTTTAATAAGAATGATAATGGATAGAATAAATGGAAGTTAATGGATATTGCAAATAATCTTAAGCTTTCTTTAAGAAAGCTTTCACTGATTTTCTATCAAATAAACTTAAACTTTCGTTTAAATTGCAAAATAATAATAATAATAATAATAATGATAATAATAATGATAATAGCAATGATAATAATAATAATAATATTTTAATAATTCACAATTATTTTGTATAAACTCTAAAATAATCACTTCCGAATATCTTTTATGAATAATAAATAAATAGCAAAGAAGTTTTTCTTTGTCAACAAAATTTAGCATAAAATAAATTTCTGTAAAACTGATTATTTGTTTTAAAAATTAATTTTAATATATTAAATAAAATTTATGCTTAAAATTTTATTTGAAAATATTTCCATTAGTTATGTTGAAAAAGTAAGAAATTATGATTAAACAACAATTAACACATTAATATTATAATTAAAGCAATAATTAGCACATTAATATTATAATTAAAGCAATAATTAGCACAATAATTAAGCAATTATATTTTTAACATTTGCTTAATATCGTTTCGTTCCATTTTTCTATTTTTCCTTAAAATGTTTCAATTCAGAAAAGAACAATTAATTATTCTATTCGTTTATCATTCAAATATTTCTTAAAAATTAAAATTACTTAAAAGCTTTGATTATTTTTCTTTCTTTCTCTACCCATTTCTATGTTTACATTCTTTTCTATCTTTCTTTTAATTTCTTGGGAAAAAAACGATTCCATTATCTCTTTCTCTTCTCTGCTCTCTTCTTTATTTCCTTCTATTTTTAAGAATAGAAAAAGAGAGAGAGAGAGAATGATATTATTTCATCCATTTCAATTGAAGAAAAAATTGAAATTATGGTAATGTCAATTCTTCTGATTTAAGAAGACGGAAAAAATTTATATTTCATTGGTAATAAAATTCAAAAAATATATATATAAAATGATGGGTGAATTTTTTAAGTTTATTTTAGGGAAAGCTTTAGGTTGGTTGGAACGATGGAATATTTGATGAAAGTTAATTTCTCTTATTTGGGAGAGATTTCTTTCTTTGAACGCTGTCAATATGGGAAAGCTGTCAATGATTTATTAATAATATATAAAGTTTTCGTTATTTATTGATCTGAGAGAGATTTGCTTGAAAGTGAATGAGAGTAGTAAATGAATCGCTTGGAATGTGAATGAGAGTGTAGAATAACGTGAAGATAATTTTTATTAACATGAATAGGAAATTAAAGGTTAAAGTTGAAAATATCATTTCCTTTTTCTTCACCTCTGCATAACTCTATATATAGACCTCTATAACAAATATTTTGATAAAATCTAATTGGATACAAGGAAATGAAAAAGAAAAGTAATGTAAAAGCGGATCTGTTTACAACATAACGATATTGAAATATGGTTAATTATCAAATCGGAAACATTTCGACATTATAGCATTAATTAAATTACACCTTATACAATCAACAATAATTATTTTTATTATTTAGTTTTTCGATTTCGATTTTTGCAACAAAATTTGGCAATTAAATTAATATTTGAATTTATCATTTACCTTTTTATTTTCCAACATCTTTTCTCTTTTTTTTTTTAAACGATTAAAATCTTATAAATATCTATTATTCTTATTTTTCTTTCTTAAATACAATTAATTATTAGTTAGCGTATTTTGCTGATCAGAACAGCACAATATTTTCGTCATAATATTTATGAATGTTAATTTTCTTTCGTGGTGATTAATTAATTTTTTTCTTTAGTTTAATTATGAATTTGTTATTATTTTGATTTTATTGCAATTAAAAGAGAAAGAATTGCAATGAAAAATTATTGATTAGTTATTTAGTGAAATTTTAGCAAAATGTAAAGATTAAAAAGAATTCCTTCAAATATTTATCACAATTTCTGTTATCAATTACAAAATATTAATTTTTAAAATTAATGCAAATTTGATGCCTTCCAAATTTTTTCAACAAAAAAAAATTTTCAGTATTTAAATATCTGAAATATTTTAAAATTTATTATTTTAATTCGAAAATATATTTTATTATTAATATTTTGCAATAAGAATAAAGTATTATTCCACGCTAACTTTTTAATTTTAAATTATATTTAATCATTTATATTTTAACTTTTATATTTTAAATTATATTTAATCATTTATATTTTAACTTTTATATTTTAAATTATATTTAATCATTTTGTGAAAATAAAAATTATTTTTAATATTCATTTTATTCTTCAAATTTATTCGTTTATTTATTTCACTTAATTTTTTTTCAAACAATTTCAAAAAATTTGGCTTAAAATTTGAAGAAGTGTATTGAAGAAGAATTCATTTTCATTTTGTAATTGAATTGTTTTGTTGAATTTTTCCTTCGTTAATTTTAATTTACATTCGATATAACGATTAAATGCAACCGATACAATTGTAAACTATTCATTGTCATTCTCATTTATTTATCATTAAAGACATCAATTTTAATATGATAGCGTATTTATTCTTATTGTTAGCATATTTATTGCTTATTTACATATTGCTTATTTGAATATTTATTTACTGATTTGATTGTTTTTGTTTGTTTATTTATTACTGCATTAGCAGACTTAAATTTTTCGTATGTTTTTTGTATTGAATATTTTTGCAATTATTACCGCAAATAAAGAATAAAGATTTAAATGAATTAAATAATTATAGATTGTTCGCTTTCTTTTTTGAAATAACCAATAAGGAAGTTTATTACTAATCTCTGTATATTTTAAATTATCATAAGAAAAAATGAAATGATAAATTTTCATATAGTTTTATCATTTTATCACTTGCAATATTATCGTTGTTAAATAATTTCCAACAAAGAAAATTGGTGACAGTTGCAGTGATAATAGCAATATAACTAATAATAGTATTTCTGATATATTTACATATAAAGAATACAAATAATCATTAATATTTATCACAATATAACTATTTAATTATTTTATTAATGAAGTATTTCGGATAATTGCATGACAGGTGCAGTAATAATACTAATATTTATTTAGGATTGGGAAATCTTGAATATATGCTACGCATATCACTACTATACCTCAATATCAATCAGTTCAAGATTTCCCAATCCTAAATAATTGCTTACTTATGACAAAATCATTTCATAATTATGTCATCAACTTGCATATATTATTAATTGAATAATTACTTGCCTATAACAATTTTTTATAATAATAATAATCGTAATTACTGAAGCATTATCTAATGATATCACTCTGTTTGTAATTAATTTGAACCCAATAATTTCAAACGTCTATCCATTTCTCAGAATACAACATTGTTACCGATATAACTATGATTATTAATTCCTATAATGCTGTTAATTATATTATTTTACTGATCAAAATTT